TGGGATTGCAATAGCAGCTGCCTACACTCTTTCTTAAAAACTCCATCTATTAATGCTGACTCATAGTGACCTTCAGAGTTGGGAATGTAGAGATAAGGCCAGATTTATCTTCAGGTGTACAGAACTACAGAAAAGCTCAAATGTCTTTCTCATGGAGCCTTAGAGGTCCTTGCTAAACTATGGAAAATTTTTCTTCCAAAGATTGAATATATGAATACATACCATCGATGTGATTCTTCATACCATACTATTTCTTTTTCTTTTTTTCTTTTTTTTAATACTTTTATTGGGGGCTCTTACATCGCTTATCACAATCTATACATTCATCCAGTGTGTCAAGCACATTTGCACATATGCCGCCATCATCATTTTCAAAGCATTCTCTTCCCACTTGAGCCCTTGATATCAGCTCCCCATTTCTTCCCCCTCCCTCCCCGGCCCTCCCTTCCTCGCGAACCCTTGATAAGTTATAGATTATTATTACTTTCATATCTTACATCATCCTCCGTCACCCCTCACCCACTTTTCCGTTATTCATCCCCCTGAGAGGGGATACCATACTATTTCAAAGTTTAAAGTGTTCACTGAAAAGCTGTCATTTTCCCATTTACTAACATTTTATTTCCAACTGGAAATTTCATAAAGTAATATTCTATGTGTCGCCTTTCTTCTTCACCTTCCCTCTTCCCCATCTTCTACTTACATGCCTCCCTCTGTTTCTTAAGCTTCTCCCTTCTGACTTGCTGACATACCCAGCTTCCCCAGGAACCCCATTTCCTCAATAAAAAAAAGTGTCACCTTTCACTCTTTCGCTCCTATTCAAATCTCACCGTAGGGTGACGAGGCTTTACTCTGGGCCTGAAAACTATGATTTGTGTGAGTGTGGGTGTGTATGCGGGTGGGAGGGCGGTGTTTTAACAATTTCAGTTCTGGAAAGAGTTAGCTACTTCTAAACAGAGGGACTTCTTTCCTGATCCGCCCCAGAATCAAAAGGCACATGTCAATTAAAGAGCAAAACCCTTTTCAACATTATTAGTTCCCCCTGTGATTTCACAGCTCTGGTATAAAACAAAAGGAAGTTAAAAGCTTTTCATTAGTGACCACATGCCAACTTGAAATAAGACATATGCTGAATGCAAAAAAAGTTTTCCAAAATTCTACTTGGAATAAAGCATCATAAATGTGCTGAAATTTAAGTTTATGGTTTCTCAAGGCTTCTAATACACATGTAATATTTTCCTGTTCATTCATTCAGTATATATTTACTAAGTGCTGTGATATAAATAAACACAGTGGGATCCTTGCAGATTCCAGAAAATTCCCAAGTTTTGTTTTAGTAATAACAAATGCTTTTAATAAATTACAATAAATTTCTATCATTTTATCCTAGAAACTTTTCAGTGTTTCTTTCCCTCCTAAATCAACTACATTCACAAACAAAAAGGCGGCTGGATCAGGACTCAGAAAAATCTACCTAGACTCATGGAAAAATCTCAAAAATTGCAAAGAAAAAGCTGGACAACGAATAAAGAAGCCCAAAGAAGAATCGGTGGCTTTGAATTATGTTGTTGGCAAAGAATGTTGAATACCCTATGGCTTGCCAAATGTCTTTGAAGAAGTACAGCTAGAATCTTCCTTATGCATTTGGGACACGTTCTCAGGAAGGTCCTTCTTGCTTGGTAAAGCAGAGGATCGCTGAAAAAGAGGACGACCCTTGAGGAGATGGAGTGGCACAATGACCACAAGAGAGGGTTCAAACACAGTAAAACTTGTGAGGTGGGTGTAGGACTGGACAGTGTGTCATTCTGTTCTATACAGGACCTTCGTGAGTCAGGACAGGCTCACAGTGACAGCTAACAACAATAGCAGTTCATGAGAATACCATTTTCTACATTCATGTCACCTACTGCATATCCTTCTTGTTCATCTTTGCTAATCTAATAAATAAAAATGGGATCTTGAAAAAATGTAATTATATTTATTTTTTAAAATAATTTTATTGGGGCTCATACAACTCTTATCACAATCCACACATAGATCAATTGTGTAAAGCAGACTTATCCATTCGTTGCCCTCATCTTTCTCAAAACTCGCTTTCCATTTGGGCTCCTGGAATCAGGTCCTCATTTTCCTTTCCCCTCCCCGCTGTAATTACATTTTAAAACATGGATGAGGGAATTCATAACTCCACCTGTTGTTAGCCCCCTCAATCAACAATCCTGAATTTGCATAACTTGGTCAGTGGGTCAAGCCTGATAACACAATGGGGAAGTACAAGGCTGATAACCAGAAGAAAGCTGATAGGTCAAACAGTTTTATTTTTTTTAATTACTCAGTAATGGATGTATGTATGGATTGTGATAAGAGATGTACGAGCCCCCAATAAAATGATTTTGAAAAACTTACTCAGTAGTATAGCTGATATAGAAAAAAGAGAATAGGTGCTTTTTTTTACTTATTTTCAAAATAATAAATTGCTGCTTCATTATCAACTCATGAATGAAAGCATATTTCATGTGTTTAAATCCACTGCCCTTATTATGCTTATTTATGCTCAATTTGTGTCATCTTTTCCCAGTAGGAATCCCTCAGGTTAGCGCCTAGGTCTTTTTTGACACTCCCCTATGTTGTCTTTAATAGCTTCCTTACCATCTGACATGATAGGTTGTTTCAGACTAGCTTGAAAATAGCCAGACCTGGAATCAGCCATTTCCCCCATTGTTTCTTTCAGTAAGAAATCCTGTCTAGATTCCACAGCCAGAGAGAACTAGAAGTCATTTACCTAGCAAACATTTTCTGAGCACTTAATATGTGCCAGTCACTGGGTTTGGCTGTAAAGATACAATCTCAATGAGCTGTCAGACCAGCAGCATATTCTCAGGGGAAAAAAAAAAAA